CCTAGATAATTTCTTGGAAGATGATGTCTAGGCTTTTTTTTTTTAAATCATAGCTTTCAGGCAGTCTAATAATTTTAAAATTCTTTCTCCTGGATCTGTTTTCCAGATCAGTTGTTTTTCCAATGAGAAATTTCACATTGTCTTGTATTTTTTTGCTCTTTCGGTTTTATTTTATTGTTTTTTGATTTCTCATTTGCTCCATTCTAATTTGTAAGGAATTATTTTCTTCAGGGAGCATTTGAACCTCCTTTTCCATTTGGCCAATTCTGCTTTTTAAAGCATTCTTCTCCTCATTGACTTTTTGCACCTCTTTTACCATTTGGCCTAGTCTATTTTTTAAGGTGATATTTTCTTCAGTACTTTTTGTGTCTCCTTTACCAAGATGTTGACTTGTTTTTCATGGTTTTCTCACATCACTCTCATTTCTTGTCCCAATTTTTCTTCTGCCTCTCTTAATTGATTTTTAAAATCCTTTTTGAGCCCTTCCATGGCCTGGGGCTAATTCATATTTTTTATTAGAGGCTTTGGATGTAGAAGTTTTGACTTTGTTATCTTCTTCTGAGTGTGTGTTTTGATCTTCCTTGTCACCATACTATCTTTCTATGGTCAGAATTTTTTCTCTTGTTTACTCATCTTTCCAGTCTGTTTCTTGACTTTTAAACTCTTTGCTAAAGTGGAGCTCTGCTTCCAGGGTGGAGGACGCACTGTCCCAAGCTTCAGGGGTTTTGTGCAGCTGTTTTCAGTTCTTCCAAGGTTGTATGATCTAAGGAGAGGTGCATTTAAAATTCTCCTGGCCTATGCTCTAGTCTGTAAGTGACCACAAGCGCTCTTTTCTGTCTTGGAACTGTGATGAGGGTCCCTGCTCTACTGCCTCTGCAAGCTGTGGTGTACTACTGCTCCTCCTCACCCTGGGACTGCCACCCAGGACTGTGACCCAGATCTGAGTATGGGCAAGGCAATAGAATCCTTCCCCCAGTGCCAGCAAAGAGATCCCTGTAATCTCCTTCTGATCAGTTTTTCAATTCCATTACCATCTCTTGGCTGAGAGCTCTGGAAGCTGCCACTGTTGCTGCTGATTCAGTGGCTTCCAAGGTCTACTTCTGGTTTGCTAGGACCTGGTCTGTGCTGATATGGTCTGCACTGGATTGTGCTCCATTCTCACCCCCATGTGACAGACCTTTCCTGATGACTTTTTAAGTTGTCTTTGGCTGGAAAATTATTTCACCCTATTCTTTTGTAGGTTCTGCTCCTCCAGAAATTGATTTATGGCATTATTTAAAGATGTTTGGAGGGGTTTGGAGGAGAGCTCAGGGGAGCTGCTGCCTTTTCTCCACCATCTTGGCCCCACTCCTTCATCACTTCTTGACTGAATTATTGCAATGGTCTCATTTTGAGGCTCCCTACCCCAAGCCTTTCTCTACTCCGTCCATTCTCCACACAGCCTCCAAAGTGATTTTCCCAAAGTGCATATCTGATCATATTACTCCCATAACTCAGTAAATTTCAGTGACACCCTTTTACTTCTAGGATCTAATATAAACTCTGTCTCTCATTTAAATCTCTTCACTACCAGGTTTCTTTCCACTTTTCCAGTCTTCCTACACACCATTCCCTTCTAACCACTCTACAATGCAGTCCTAGTGGCCTACTTCCTGTTCCATGCACACTACATTCCATCTCTCAGTTCCATGTCTTTACACTAGCTGTCCCCCCATGCCTGAGATGGACTCCTTCTTTACCTTTGCTTCTTGGAATTCTGATTTCTTTCAAAATTCAATTCAAATGACATCTTTTCCAGGAAGTATTTTTCTGATCACCTCAGAAGTTAGTGTGCCCTTTCCCAAAACTACCTTGAATTCTTTTGGGGGGGGTATGTGTGTGTACATATATATATACACATATATGTATGTATTTAGAGAGATACATACATACATACATACACACACACACATATATACACCTACATATATACATACTTGCAAATATACTTACATATATATCATATGTGTCATATATACTTGCATATATGTTGTGTTTAGTTGTTTTAGTCATGTCTGACTCTTTGTGAACCCATTTGGGGTTTTCTTGGCAAAGATACCGGAGTGGTTTGCCATTTCCTTTTCCAGTTCACTTTATAGATGAGGAGCCTGAAGCAAACAGGGTTAAGTGACTTGGCCAGGGTCACCCAGCTAGTAAGTGTCTGAGATTGGATTTGAACTCAGATTTTTCTGATTCCAGGCCTGGTGCTCTATCCACTGTGCAACCTAGCTACCCCTTGTATATGTGCATACTTACATATATGTTATATAAATAATTCCATACATACACATACTTATACATATATATACATGCTTGTATATCATGTTCATTCTTACATGTATACATCCTTACACAATATATACTCATATATATGTCATATACATACACGTATACATACTTATATACACATATATAATATGCATGCCCAATATACATATATAAATATACTATGTATGTATGTGTGTGTGTTGTTTCCCTCATTAGAATGTGAGCTACTTGAAGACATCTGCTGTTCCACTTGTCTTTGTATCTGTAGTGCTTAGCGTAGTAAGCACTTATAAATGCTAGTTGATTATCAACTCTCTAATTAGATAGGATGTGGTAACTGAAAGAAAATCTAAAGAAAACCTACAATATTATTGTTCCCCCCTGATTTAGAATCTTAGGGAAAGAAATGCTGGCACAAAGGAAGCAACTTATACTTCTCTAATGTATTTATTGTGTCATGTTGTAAATTATAATTATCTATGTATAATTTATTTCTGGACTTTGAGTTCCATTAGGGAAAAGAGACTGTCTTATCTAAATTTCACATGTGGCTCATATCTACCAAAGTTCTTTAAGGCATATTAGAGATAATTAATAAATATTCATTGAACTAAAATAGGTACCTTATAGATACTTGGTGACAAAAGAGACATTATTATAGTGGAAAGTTTTCTTTAAAGTGGAGGGTCTTAACCTTTTTTAGCATCATGGACCTCTTTCACAGTATGGTGAAGGCTATGATCTGTATACATAGTGTTCTTAAAGGTATAAAATAAAGTAAATAAGACTGAAAAGGAAAAACAATTTTGTTGAAATACATTTATCAAAATATATTTTTAAAAATAATGGATTCTAGGTTAAGAACCCCTACTCTAAAGTTGCAAGCACTGACTAATACTGAATCTAAATTTGACTCCAGTCAGTAAGCCTGAGGCCCAACTTCATGCCTTGATGCCTATACAATTTTGTTCGTGGCCCTTAACATTTGTGGTCCTCAATTTCCTTCATATGTCATATGATGATAGAAATACTGGCATTCTCAACCTCATAGGATTACCATAAGGATGGACTGAGATAATGTGCTTTATAAGACAAAAGCATTGTAAATGTTGGCTATTATTGCTATTGTTATTGTTGCTATTAGATTTAGTAACCAAGCATTCATTTGTTACCTTTGGGAAAAAACAATATCAGTTCAATGATGACATTAAAATCTTATTTCTGTTATTTCTACCTATTTGACCTTGGGCAAATCACTTAAATTCTCTCAATCTGAAATTCCTCATCTGTGAAAGGAAAGAGTTAGTGATGACCACCAAGCTCCCTTCTAGCTGGGTCTATGATTCTAAATTCATAAGCTGTTGGGTTTGGGTTTTTTTGTTGCTGTAACATTTTTTACACAGGTGCTCAGAGTGGAAACTAAATTGGATAATACTAGGAAATTTGAATTGAAGAAACAGTAAAGCTAGGCTAGTAATAATCAAAACTGATAAATAAATTGAACAAAACTGCTTCAAGTACCAAATCACAAATGAAAATATAATGGTTAACTATCTCTGATATGGCTTTCTTAACATACTGATATGCCATGTGTGTTGATATAATTTTTTAGCTGATCTACAATCCAGACAAATTATTAAGACATTTTCAAATAAAATAAAATTTTTAAAAATATTCTTAAAAATTTAAAGCAAAATTAATAAATAAATGAAAATTCTCTACATGCTCCTTTCCGCCATGAAAATTGTTGTGAAGCCACTTACAAGATATATTATTTCATCTAATATTGTCCTGAGTTATAACACACTTATAGCAATTACATCCTTTACACTACATAACTTGTAATATTATTAAAATCGCAATAAATTGACATAAAAGATGAAAGCATTATAAAAGATTTATTATTATATTGTTATTAAGATAACAAGGAGTTGACAGGTATTTCTCAGACCTTACAGCAACAATTGCTCCAAATAAAACTTCCCAGGTTAAACGTTTTTTAAAAAGATTTTACTGAAAGGGTTCTGTTGAGTTACATTTAAAGTAAAGGATTATGTCACCCATAAAAGTTTGAGAACTTTTGCTTTAGAGAAATTCTATATCACAGTTATTATTCCTAAGTAGGGCATGGCCTATAGGAACTTTATGACAAAATATAATATTGATGGGGAAAAAACACAAAGGCTGCTTCAGTGTTTGAGGTCTGCATATTTCCATATATGTCATGTTTATCAGAACAAATAAAAAGAATCTGTCTTAAAATTGAAGTCACGATGGTTAGATCCAAAATAGATTGCCACCTGCTTTAAAGATAAAAACAAATTCCAATCTCTTTGATGTATTTTAATGATATGAGATGATAGCTGTGCACAGAATTTCATTTGAGTTTTGTTAGATACATCTTGAGCTCAGAATGAACAATAATAATGATCTTTTAGAATGTTAATAAATATTTGTTCTATTAAACTTTTACCAATTATCTTTCTAAGTGGCTTGATATAAGAAGTATTATTTGCAAAGCATTGTTTATTCATCCCAGCTTCCTGAATAAATTTTGAGGAAGGTATATATTGATTAGAAGGGGCAGTATTTGATGGCAAGGATATTTATATATAAATAAGCAAATCTACACATGGTGGTTTGGGGCTGGCATTTACAAGCCACTTACGTATCATTGTTCTTTTTCTTCCTAGAAAAGCGTCTTTCCAGAGGTATTTCTCATGCCAGCTCAGCCATAGTCTCCCTTGCCCGATCCCATGTGGCCAATGAATGCAGCAATGAACAATTTCCCCTGGAGATGCCCATCTACACATTCCAACTGCCCGACCTCAGTGTATACAGTGAAGACTTCAGGAGCTTCATCGAACGTGATTTAATAGAACAGGCAACAATGGTTGCCTTGGAGCAGGCAGGTAAGTAAAGCCATTTGGTAATAGTAGATAGATGACCTGGCTTCTTATCCTTCTTTTATTTTATTTTAATATTAGAGCTGGTATAGCTTTTACCTAAGAAAATAAGTTAAGCAACAAAGAGCATTCCCGTCTTTTGACATGAGTCCATTTGTTTTCTGCTATACTGTGTTCCAATTCTGGCTGGAATTAGATGAGCCAAGCCTCATTCTCAGTAAAAAGTCATGCTTCTAACATATCTTTGAATAGCTTAAAATTATATGTAATCATTTGACTTCTCCATTTTTTTGCTCCTAACTCCATAGCCTTTGAAAATGTATGTTATGTTAGCTCTACGCCAAGGGAAACAAGAATTTGCCCAGATTCCTCAAGAGAAGGAACTGTTTCATCTTTATCTTTGTACCCAGCTCCAAACATGGAGGATCTCACATAGTAAACACTTAATAATTCAGCGAACTGAATTTGCCTTTATTTTCCTTGTAAAAAAACTTTTCCTCTAGTATCCCCATATTCTACAGGCAAGAGAAAAGCGGTACTGACCCTAACATGGTTTCAGCCCTGTCTTCGCTTTCCATCCAATACTGCTGGTTTCTTACTAGGGGCACAGAGTTATGTAATAAACCACCAAGTAAATCAATTTATTCTTTGAAGAATTACCACCAGCATGGGGACAAAAAATCCAGAATGAATGTTTAAGACAAATCTAGATCTTTCTCCAGGTACACCAATTTTTACTGAGCTCATGAGGAGTTGCGTAATGTTTTGCTTCTTAATTTATGTTGTGATTCTTTGCCCTAAAAGTATGTCTAAAGAAAATCCACTTATTAACTAAAGTTATGGTGGTAAAGACGCATATAGAAGGATTGAATTTGAAGTTAGAATGTTCAATAGACATCTATCATATAGTATAAACTTCCCAATTTATACAAGAAGAACCTGAGGAACCAGGTAGTTAAGTGATGTGCCAAGGTCATATAACTAGTTGGTTTTAGTGCCCAAGCAGACTCATACCTATTTGTTACCAGTCTAGTACACTTGATCTTAATAGAAAAGTTGCCATGGAGCTCAACCGAGTTCTTGGTTGAATGAGGTAGAAATGGTGGTACAGAGTGATGCATAACAATAATCACCTGTCCTCACAGGACAACCCAATTATTAAGCCAGTGGTTAAGTTGTAAGAGTATAAGAAATAGAGGTTATATGTATTTTTAAGCTAATTTTGAATGACTATCAGGACCTGAGATCAAATTCAGGCACAGACAGTTACTAGCTGTGTGGCCCAGGGCAAGTAATTTAAATCGGTTTGCCTCAGTTTCCTCAATTGCAAAATGAGGGTAGTAACACATCTACTTCCCAGTATTGTTGTGAGTATCAAATAAGATAATATTTGTAAAGCACTTAGCATAGTGCCAGACACATAGTATATGCCATATAAATGCTTATTCCCTCCCCATTTCCGCTAAAAAACTTATCCTCAGAGGGGAGAAGTCACCCTTGTGCGTCCTCAACTGGAGGTAGAAGTACAAGTTCAAAGAGTGGACCCAGAAAAAATGCTCTAATAGAATTAGTCAAATAAAATAGAATCTTTTCAAAACTCCCTAGGTCATGGGACTTTCAAAAATATAATCTATGTTAGGATCCATAGGAAATAAGTTATATTTTATAGGATGCTCTGTCAAACCATCTCTCCTCTCTAGCCACTTTTACTTTGGCCTTATTCACTACCTTTTATTTATCTTGCGTCTTTCAATAACTTAAGGATAATTTCTCATTGTACAAGTTGGCAGTTCTATCTTTTCACCCCTATTGTGCTTTGGAATCTACCACCTTTGCCAGCCACCCAGGATACATTGCTAACTCACAGTACCTCCTGCTTAGAGTGGCAAAAGTAGATGGCAATTGCAGCCTTGTATTTTATTACCAAGCAAGCCTGTTTTCTTTTTCTTCAAGGAATTATTTTCTTTGATGCTGCCACATATGTATTCTGTAGCCACAAGTTATTTTTATAGCAACAGAGCCAAATTTAAGGTAAAAAAATCCTCTTACTCTCTCCTATTGAACTGATGTCACATTTGGTTAGCTTCTGTCTTGTCTTCAAGGGTGATGGGCATGGGCACCTTATTTAGAAATGTGTAGTAAGCCATCTGTTAAAGTCTCAAGTTAATTGATTCCGTTACCTAGTATGAATCAGAAGAACATTTCTTTGGAGAGTCAAAAGAAATGACTAATAACTCTTAAACCATAACAAAACCTAAGCCAATGCTGAAAAATTTTGCATACCATTTTTTTCCTTTTGGGAAATTCTGGTTTTCAAAAGGAGAACATTTGATAAGTGCTGTTCTCTGCAACATCAGTGTCTTTTTTTTCTTTCTTTCCTTGTTTTAAAGTGAAGTTATTCTTCAGATACAATTGTAATGATTACCCAATCACAGCTGAAAGTTTAAAAAAAAAACTGGACCATGTAAATGACTTCTGCAGAAGTTGTTTCTAAATTAAACTTTGAAGTTTTAAAGATGTTTTTACAGTTGACTTACCATTCAAGGAGTGATGAGAAGAGATGCCAATGAACTAAGAAAAATGTCTTTATAGATGGAGTCCACCAACGACTTGAATTTAGAATTCTTCGGATATGTATCATTCTTAAATGCTTCTTTCCCGATTTCATTACTCTAAGAATTACCTGAATTTACCATGATTCCCGATATTGGAGGGTGATAGTTCCTCTTCATCTCTCTCTTTTTAAATCTGTATCTTCCTTCAAGGTTCAGTTCAACTACATGGTTTTTTTTTGGTGATTACTTACTTCTCTTATCCCTTTTCCTGGTGATATTTCCATTTTTTCCATCATTCCTTACCTTACATTGTACTTAGTCTGTGTGAATGTTGTTATCCCCCTACCTTAGCCCCAATGAACTGGTAAGTTCTGGGAGGCAGAGACTGTTTTTTTTGTTGTTGTTTTGTTTTTGTCTTGCCAGTAGGCAGCACTTAACAAACATTAGTTAAATTGTTGAATTTGTCTAGTCCAAGGCAAACTCCTAAAGTTCTTTGCACTTCACAAAGAAATTACCTTTGCTTTTGGTATTCAGAGGTAATTGAAATGTGATTGAATATGTGGTCTAAATTGAGTGTCAAAGAAATGAAAAATTATTCAGTTGTACTTTTCCAAAAAGCAATCTCCCCCTGCTCGGGAAATATTTAGGGTTTTATAGTTTTGTCATATTGTCTGGATTGATCACTTTTTCAAAGGTGTATTTTGGGAGTTGCTATTGAATAGAATTGGTTTGGTGACAACTTGTTGCTTTTTATTGGGATCAAAGTCCATATATAAATTTTAGATCATGATCATGGTAAGTTAAGATACTCAGGCTCTTTTAAGAAACTAAATCTCCTTCATTTATACGGTTACCCTTGTGTCTGAAATGATTCAGGATGAATTTTAGCAACAACTCATCTTCACAATTTGCTGTATTTGAAACACTATAAAACATCAGATATGCTTCCTTCCTTTAAAAAAAAAATTTGAGAGTAATTAGGTATAATCAAACATTTACATTCTTGCTTCCCAGAAGTTGTCTAGTGGGCTGATGAACATCAAATGAATAATTCAAGAAAATATTCATAGCCCAGTGGAGACCCTAGGAAGCGCAGGAAGAAGGAGGGTGTCAGAATCAGTGTGGTAATGGAGTTCATCTAAGCTGTGGAAGATAAACAACTTTTAAAAATAGTGTTCACATGCATATTAGTGCTTGGTAGAACTTCATTCCAAACAGTAGCCCATTTGAACTAATCAAATCACAATAGTCTTCATTAGGGTATTGAAATGCATAATTTCAACAAATTAACATCTTTTTAAAGAGAGATTTACTGTTTAATTTGATCCTTGGAGTCAACAGGAAACTAATATTGAAATGTAACTTTTTAGAGGTTTTGAGAATAGATGGTTTGAAAGGTCATGGTGCTAATTGGTTTGCCTCCAGGAAAATCTCTACTTATTCTATGTTATTCCAATTTTTTGAGTTCTCCATTTTTGGAGATTCCACAATCTCCCTTGTGATCAGAAATTCCTCCTTATCATCTAGCATACATCTCAGCTACAATAAAAGCCTGTTTTTTCTTTTCCTTACCACAGCAGAGTTGGAATATGGCCAGTCAACTTCTTTCTCATCCTGTCTCCTCCTTATGGTTTAAAACTCTTATTAAGTCCTTCTCCCTTCAGTTTTCCAAGTAAAGTAACCCTAGCTCATTCACCTTTCCTCCTTATAAGCTATATCCATTAGTGTATCCGGTTCTACTCCTCCTAGGAAATAACTATTCCTCTTTTGGTGCCAAAAACAAATATTTGTGCCTTCTTTATTTTGCTCTAGTTTGTATTAGAGTTTTTAGTAAGTATATTGGATTTCATACTCTAGATTGCAAGATCTTTGAAAGCAGAACCCAGTGTCTAATCTTTGTATCTCCCCAATAATTTCAGACAATATTCTACACATGGAGGATACTTTTAAAATGTGTGTTGAATTGTATTTTAAAACTCCATTTTAAGCATTTTCAAAAGATAGCAGAGTACTCCAGCCAAGATAGCTGTTTGAAGGAGAGGTAGACCTCCTAGTTGGCACATACGTACTCTAGGAAAATCATGAAATTCACACCAGATGGATGAATGATCAGGAACCACAATGAAAAACTATAGGAAGTAATTTTTTTTCCATCCCCAAACCATAGAAGATGTCACATAGAAGCCAATGGACAGTAGGAAAGAGGAGTGCTAACAAAGCCAATGCCCAATCTGGCAAACAAGCCCAGTCTCCCAAAACAATCAGTGATAGACCAGAGATACCATAGCCTATTATACTGTATGTCAGAAGGCAGCAAAAGCACAGACTTAATAGAAATCCCTGGAGAGGTCAGGAGACACTAGTGAACAAAGAGTGGCAGAGACTAAAATGTATGGCAATGCTCAGACCAGGAGAACCCAGGCACCCAGGGATTCCAAAGCCCCTAGGTAT